AAAAAAAAAGAAGGGAAACAAATACGACAAAATGTGCTCAATTATTAACTCTGAGTGATAAAAATTGACACTGGTTATAATTCCATATCTTTTGATCTACTGTGATTTTTTTTTTTCTAATGTAAAGGCAAGTAGGAAGGGAAGCAGGAGATGGGCAGTGTGTCCCAGAAGTCAGGAGTAGAAAGGGCTTCACAAGAGGAGAAATAACTGTTCACTCTGCTGAGAACTCAAACGAAATGAAAACCTTAAAAATACCTACTACACTGGACGAACTGAAGAATTTAGGGAAAACCTTGTTGATGGATTCTTATGAACAGACAGCAAAGGAACAAATGAGCAGATAGACAAGGTGACCAATCGTTGACCTTCTTTGGTGACACTTGGTTTTGGAGGAGAGGAAAATACAGGTGGCCTTAAAAGAATAGGGGACCCTAGGAGGGCTTGTTTGAAGACAATGTTGTTTACATATTGATGAGAAGATGCACAAAGGGCAGAATTTCTGAGAATGGGTCAACTATGGAGAACATGAGAAGGGACTGACTTTATACTGAGATAAATACTTCCCACATAAAAAGAGACAATATCCCAGTGGCCAACTTCATGCAGCTGGAAGTCTAGGCCGTCCCAATCTGAGGCCTGAAGGCCTGGGTGAATCCAGGAGTGCTCTGGTCCTCTATCCACAAGGGAAGGCTGGGGATGCTGGGACTTGTGTTATTAAAGGATGGCGGTGGCAGCAACAACAGACAGATGCACTTACCATCAATAAGCAAAGACAGGTAGGCAAACGACAATGTTTTCTCCTCAGAGGTGTTCATATCTGGGTCAACCATAGGAAGGCACCTCCACAGGCCCATCTAAAGGTTTGTCTCTTAATTCTGGGCTCCCTCCTATGGACAGCAAAGGTTAATCATTATAATTATAAGATAGTTATCCAGTGCAAGAACAGAGAAGGCTGATTTTAATATAATACAGGGCTGGCTATTGAGTGTCGAGTAGGACTTTGGAGAGAGGGGGTGAGAGGGAGAGAGAATCAGGGAGACAGAGTACTAGAGAGAGCAATGTTTCATAACATACCCAGGATACATTGTGACAGTGGGTTTTGTGAAGATGCTCATTGGAATTGCCTGGGAAGGTTCAACAAACACCCATGCCCATGGCCCATCTTTAACATCGGTTGCATCCTTCAAGGCACTCCCTGGTACTTCTAATAGCAAATGGATTTTGAAGCCACCAATTTAAATAGAAAAGGAGTTCCAATAAGATGCATGGGACACACACAAGTTTCTGGTTGTGAATGAGATCCCCACTCCAGGCTCTCCCAGGTCCCCCAGGACTTCATATCCATAGGGAACTAATCAGAATGGCAGCAACCCTTTCCCCCAGGCCTTTTATTTTATTGTTTATTTATTTACCTTGTCTGTATGTGTGTGTGTGTGTGTGTGTGTGTGTGTGTGTGTGTGTGTGTGTGTGTGCGGGGTTGTTTCAAGACATGGTTTCCTCTGGGTAGCCCTGGTGGTCCTGGAACTTGCTTTGTAGACTAGATGGCCTTGAACTAACAGAGATCCAACAGCCTCTGCCTCCTGAGAGCTGGGATTAAAGGTGTGCACCACCACTACTGGGCTGGCTTTTTATTTTAAAACAGAGATTCTCATCAAATGCCTAAATGTGCTCTTTAAAGGAGCTGGGTGAGCTTACCCTTTTTAGTCTTAGGTGATTTGAGGGAAGTGGATGCTGTCACGTAGTATGTATTATTGTTGGGAGTCGTTAAATGTAGCTTCCAGCTCTGACCTAATTCTTGACCCAAGGGAAGCCACCTCTTCACTTTGGGCCTCCATGTGACCCCTGTAAAATGTGACCTTAGGACTGATGCAGAGGATGACAGATGCTTGTTAATGCTTACCAGGAAGTGAGTGTCCTAGATTCTCAGTCCATTCACACTGGTTGGTTAATCTACAACATTCCTGGGAAGTGAGGTAGGTCAGCTGCAGTTCTAGAACGGTAAGAGAATCTTCAAGATGACCAGCTAACATATTGCCTAATCCCAGGTGGCTTTGTGAAACACTCCACAACCATGCCACTAAACTACAAAACCAGCTAAGTTTTCAAGTTCTAAGGTTCTATGATTCTTCACTCACCTGCTTCTCTTTTGACTAGTAGGGTAAATTGCAGACTGCAAGAGCTTTGGAGGGGCAGCGACTTTGCTGAAAAGTTAATATCAGACTTTTGGGAGAGCCTGAGGCTGCGAAAGGGGTAATGGCATTATGAGGTATCTAGTGGTTTACTTTTCTTCCTGGTTCCTGGAGCAGCCTTTCTGTCAGGTATGAAAGTAGTGCCACGTGTTCAGGATATCGGGCGCTTAATTGGATACTGAGATTTTAGGGTCTAATAATTGCCAGTTAAGAGTCTGGGTGGTATTTCTTTACCGTCAAAAGTAAATTCAAATTCTTCCCCTCTCGTATCCCACACTTTTGAATTAGGTAAATTTAATCTCCCTCCTCGTGGCTCAGTGATACTACAGGTTAAACATGCAAGTATTAATATTGAAAATAATTACCCTTTAAACAATATCTTGAAACGCGATGTGGGGCACTTCCAATATATCCATAAAGCAAACAAGACAGCTTAATTGTTTGTTTCTCCAAGGGAAGGAGCTAAACCGGAATTAATTTGGTTCAGTCTGTGAAACAATTCGTTTGCTCTGCCTAATTCTGCCAATTAAAGAACTTTTCCCAGACATAATTAGCATGTAAATCAGCGGTGGGGAGCGAAGAGGGAAGGGAGCCTTGACGACCCGCGCGGGGTGAGATACTGGACCAACGACCGACTGCCACTGAATCTGCCCATCGCCAGCCTAAATATGTGTGTTAGAGAAGTCTCTGCCGTGGCAGCCTGTCCCACCAAGCCCCAGAGCTAGGAGGGTGACACTGGGAGGCAGCCCTCACCCAAGCCTTGAGAGCCGGAGCAAGCCGGCCACCACCTCACAGATCCAGTCTTCTTCCAGAGTCGCGCCCAGAGCCGCGGGCGCTGCGCGCGCACCTAGGGCCGCGCCCCCAACCACCCGGGATCTGGATAGACTTTTGCTGGCCTAGGAAGGGTGGGGATAGCGGCCCCTGCTGGTTTTTTGGAGAACAGCAAAACGTATTTTCCCCTTTAATCATTCTTCCCACCCTTTCCCCAGGTGGTTTTGTTAGGAAGGGAAAAAAAAAAAAAAAAAAAAAAAAAAAAAAGCCAGAAGGCGGGGGAGATGCGGAGGACATTGTCACGTAAACGTTTTTTTTTTTTCCCTTTCCAGAGCACCTACGATCAGATTTTTGCACATGCTGGAATGGAATTACAGGGAACGTGGACATAGTGACACTAGCACCGAATTGGGGGAACAGGTACAATTTCTAATCTGAAGCTCCTCAGCCAACCTGGGTCTGAAACTCCGATTCTCCTCCTCCCTTGCTTTTCTTCGCTGACCTAACGTGCAGTAGAAATTGCTCCGGGAACTGCGTGGCCACCCAGCGTTACTTTCTTTGAAGGCTGCGGCCTCAGTGGGCACCATCTGCGAAACCTACTCTGGGAGCAGCAGCCCAGGCGCGCAGTTGCTTGCGGAGAGCAGCCGGCGCGGCGGCGAGAGCGCCGCGGCTGGGGGAGGGGACCGTGGTGTGGCCTGACCAGTTGGCACAAGCCTATAAACTGCAAGACTTCTTTGCTATTGTGAGTTCAAGCAGCGGAGAGAGGCTGTGCCTGCCATTCTTCATGCTCTCATAACAATAGAGCCTTGGAAATAGTTGCGATTTCCCTTTTCCAAGAAGCTGCTGGATTCCCTTTGGTATTATTTAAGTCTTATTTCTAAAGTTTACTTATTTCTAAGAACGATGCTCACCGCGGACTTTGTAACTAAGACATTTTTAAACAGATGCGGTCGTTAACCACGTTCTCAACCCCGTAGTTTATATGCTTATTTAACGTGTGCTATAAACGAGTGCGTGGAGAAACCGATTTTAACCACACAGTCTTGAATCCAATTCATCTGGGCAGTAAGAAAGTGCATCACTTCTAGGATCTACCTCTAATCAGAAATAGAAAGGTTCGCCGTCCCTTTAAAACTTTTCCATTTAAGAAAATCGATGCGCAAACTCTTTCTTGTAACTCGCTCTTCTCTGTCTATTTTTATTTATTTTTCTGATTTGGCCAAGCTCAGCAATGCTGTCTGGGATTTCTTTTCTTTTTCTTCTTTTTTTCCCCTCTTCTCTTGCTATAACAGATATGGGGGTGGGGAGACGAGGGCTGAGGGCTGGGCTTCTCTTGGAGTCGCCCCCGCCGGGACCTCCCGGGTGCGCGCCCCGGGGCGGAGGAATTGAGGTGGTAGGAAGCAGCGCTGGCGACTCAGTCCAAAGCTCTACCTGCAGCCACGCGGCGTCAAGTCTCCCCTTCCTTAGGCTTACTCGCGCCGTCTCCATCCCTCTCCCTCTCCCTCGCTCACACCACAGCTCTCCTTCGGGTCGGAGACGCCAGCCCAGGGAGGCGGGGTTGCTGGAGGAGAGTCCGCTCTGCGTAATCCAGTCCGGGACTTGGCTCCGCCCGGAGCGTCGGCCTCTCCGGTGACACTGGAGTAGTGAGCCGCTCGGGGTGAGGCTGCAGCCAACTCTGCTCCCCACGCACTCGGCTGCCTAGGCGCTCGGGACGCAGCACAGGCGCTTTTCCGCGGTGCCGACTGCCCGAGATGCTCGCCTAGGAGCGTGCGGCCGCGGCCAGCGTCGCCACACCCGGGACACTAAGCTCGGGGTTGCAGTGCGGGCCAGATCCCTGCACCTCTGCCTCAACCCCCACCCCGCCCCCCGCCCTGAAATGACTAGTTAATGGGCGCTGGCACCGCCGAGGGGGCTCAGAAGTGAATCCAAGTGGAATTTGGATTTGGAAAAGAGTTTCCTGAACATTTACCCTGGTTCTTGCTGGGTTTTCTTCTTTTTTTTCCCTTTTTTTTTTCTTTTTTCCTTTTCCAATTTTTTTTTTTTTTTGTTGTTGTTGTTGCCTTCCCCTCCGGTCCTCTTCTGTCATTGGAGATGAACACAGCTCGCTTGCATCCCAGAAAGTAATCGCCGTGACTGTTGCCCCCCAAAAGACAAGCACACATGTAGGAATGACAAAGGCTTGCGAAGGAAAGAGCGCAGCTCAAGGCCCAGAGAGATCTTCTCGATAATGGATTACTAAATGGGATACACGCCGTGCCAGTCCGCTCCGAGCCGCGGCCGCCTGCCCGTCGATGCACCGAAAAGGTATGGCCCTTGCGTCCCTGAGCGCCCCACCTCCTGGATCCAGGCTGGGGCGAGGGTCCCGGGGTTACCCCAGATGCGCGTTGTGGGCTTTGTAGAGCCTGTGTTGTATTTGGTTTTATGTCTCTATTTCCCGAGCGTTGTCCCTTCCTGGGGGAGTAGCCCCGAGCCCAGCCTGCAGCTCTTTTCAGTCCTGAGCCCCAGAGACTCCGGGCTCAGTGTCAGGAGCTTCACCACCCGATCGCGCACACGACCGGCGCCGCCCCGAACCTAGACCGAGCGGATGGCTGTCCTGCTCAGTGGTGTGAGTGTGTGTGTGTGTGTGTGTATGTGTGTGTGTGTGAGTGACCCAGGCTAAGAGCTCACTCTTGGGCCGGTAGAGAGGAGAGCGGCCCTGGAGGGTGGGATTCTCAAAAGCGCCGGGTCCTGGTGTCGAATGCTGGGGCAGGGGAAAGGGTTCTGCCCTCGAGGGCCAGGGAGGGTTGGGGAGTAGAAGGCTGTTTGTGTCCAGCCACAGGTTTAGGCTCTGGTGTGGGAGAACTGGTTGTGCGGGGACGGTGGAGAAGAGATGAGGATCTTTTGTTATCAGTGTGGGGTCTGGGCTGGGCTCCGTGGAGTGCGTGAAACTTGTAATGGCCCTGAGCATCTGCGCGCCCTCTCTCTTGGTGGGATCCACTCTTCAGTCGCCACTGACACTAGAGAGAGGTTCCTGGCTTTGTTAGCTGGAGTAAGTGCCTAGGAGCGGTGTCTTGGTGTGACGCGGCGCCCCCGCCCTAGGTCCTGTCCCTTGCCTCAGCTCCCACCCTAGAGAACAGGGCACCATTTGTCGCAGCTGCGTCTCTCTTAAGCTCTGAGCTCTCCACGCTAGGGCTGGCCCCTGCTGCGCCTTCCTCTAAGACCTGTCCCTCTCGAGAAAAGATGTACCCCGGGAGAGGGGAGGGTGGGGAAACCCGGCAAGAAATAGCTCTGGGCTTGCCACTCTGATGAAAGCTCTGCTGCAGATTGTTGGGTGTCCTGTCTGCTTGTTGTGTCCTGGAGCTCTGTCTCTGGAGCTGTGGGGCTCCCGAAGCAAGCTGGGCAGTTCCCTGTTAGTGACCCTACTGGGTGGGTCACTTTCCCCCATCGCTTCGTTTTTTCTCGGCTTTCCACGGAAGGAGACGGTATAGAGCAGGATCCGGAGCAGCCAGGCTGCTAACCCGATTCTGCGAGTGTCAGGGACGGAAACCGGACCCCGGCATTTTTCCCGCTCGCTCGCCGCCCCTTTCCCAGAGCCTCCTCCCCTTTACAGTGCAGGGCCCACGTACCCAGCGCTTCTGGAAAGTTTCTGTGGTAGCTAAAGACTGCTGGAAACACCAGACCAGGGCTCAGGAGTGTTCAGTCTGACCCCCGAGCTAATTGAGCGGACAATTGGGATGTGACCAGGAGCTAGATTCCCTATTCACTGGAGAATGGCACCTTCTCTGGCCCTCAGCACTTGCTGTACTAGGGTCTCAAGCAACTGGAGAAGGCCTGGGGGCTCAGGGTTGGGACTGTTGAATTCAGGATGTTTATGTGTTCGCAAGTGGCGGACAGAAGCTGCTGTGAGGGCACGTGTGGACACTGGCTCTGGCTCGCTGGGTCAAGAGTCTCTAGCTTCATGTGCAGCATCCCAAACCTCCTGCGCCAGTAGCAAGACATTGCAGCTCACACATGTCCAGAGAGCAGAGGAGCAGGGCCAGGTGTTGGTGGAGTGGAGAAGAGAGGGACGATTGGAGGCGCTGTCCTCCTTGCCTGAGCGAGCTTTTTCAGCTGCGGCCTCCGGGCTGTAGGGAAGTAGGCAGTCTTGCCGGCAGTTCAGCCTCAGACTGTGCAGAACGATTGTGGCTGCCTTCTCCAGAGTGCGGTGATGAAGCTCAGCCACAGAGGGATCTCTCCCTATTTACTCTGGATGAAATTTGAGTTACTACTGAATGGGATCCTTAAAGATCTAAAATACAGGCGAACCTGGACACACCACACACACAACACACACACACACACACACACACTTAACATACAACCCAGTTGTAGTCTTCTACTGTAGATCTCAGAAAAAAAAAAAAAAAGCTGTTGTTTAACGCCAATCTGCTCTGGTTTTCATGCTTTTTTCACGTAGGGAGGTCGAGTATCTTTGCCTTGCTTTTTCTTAATCCTGCTGATTTAGGCTTTCCTTCCCGGGAGGACTTACATTTTGGCGTCAGATTCACCATCTGTTACTGTGATGGCAGGGAGTTAGTGGTGTTGGATACATCCATCCCTTTTTTAGCTTACTCCCCCCCAAGGTAAAGACGCCTGTGCTCGGTTTTTGAATGAAAACACTACACAGTTTTTCCTCCTTACCCCAACAGCTACCAGAAGTCAAGACAGAAAGCATTTTGTATGGTTTATAAACTCCACATCTATTCTTCTACAATAAACTTTTACTAAACTACTCCAGGCACCAAAGTTAATTATTAACCTAACTTTAAATACAATGGCAGATCTGTGTCTCCCCCTATTAACCTAAACTGTCTGTTAAAACATAATTGCACTAGGTGTTTGAGTTTGGATTGCCCATTTCTGTTTACATACATAGTAGCTTCTATTTGAATCTTAGGTAACCTATACTCCCTTGTTTTTATTTTAGTTTTATACATTCTTGAATGAAGGACTTGGCAAGCTATTCTAAGTGGAAAAGAATGAACAACAGATTTGATAGCTTGATTTTGTTAGGAGTCTTTACATTCATCTTGACATAAAGAAATATTGTGTTTGTATTTCTTGTTTGTTGTGATTAGGCGTGATGGTCTCCCTCATGTGTCATGATTTACAACTATACCATTTAGAAATCACCACATCCCCAAGAATGCATGCAGCCTGCATATATGAATGTTTCCCAGACACCCTACATCATTACCTTTGGGATCGCCTGAAGAGTACATGTTGGACAAAGCACCTAAATTTAACTAGGGTTAGAATACATATGACTTTGTGTAGGACACTCGAGTGAATGATGAATGAATACATGGATGAATGAACAGTCATGGTGACTATTTTCTTGTTTCTTGTCCAGCAGGCAGGTTTAGCCTTCCTGGAGTGAAAACAGCCTATGCTTTGAAGTGAGTGGTTGTGATGAAGTGATAAGTGTTACTCTTTGCACACAAATGCACACCTCTCTAGTCTTTTTTCTACACCTTGTAATGCTTTTGCTATCATTTAAAAAAGGAGAGCATTTGCATTTTGAGGAGGCGTGTATCATTGCACCAGTGAAACTGAGTGTGTTAAATAAGGATGGCAAGAGTTACACAGGCTGTTACCATCGAACAAAAATAAAGCATCCAGGTTTTCAGGACTTGTACTAAATTTACAGCAAGCACCTATGCTTTGGAAGTGAATGGGTTATTGCACTTTCATATGAAGTGGGGGAAACACTGTTTTGCATAAGGAAGTTTGGGTATGACACATATATTATAGTTTAGTTCTCTTCAGAGCAGTCTAGAGAGGTGTTGATGGGATGAAAGGGCCTTTTAGAAGGAGTTTTGGAGAGCTAGTATATTCTGCCATCTAATTTGTTTGCACAAAGGGAATCATGGAACAAGCAGAATTAATTGAAATGCCTTAATTAGGCACCTGCCTCCATGTAAAGCTATCTGCACTGCCCCTCCCTGCCACACTCTCCCCAAGGTTAAGACAGTTTCTTGTCCTCCTCCATAGCTGATGCTTTTGATATATTTACTTAAGAGCCGTGTGTTATAGAACCTATGCTTGTGCCTGCTGAAGGTGAAGCATGGCACATCCTGTTGTGCTTCCCCCTTTACCTCCCACCCCTCACCCCCCTTTTCTTAGGGTGTCCTAGAGTCAAATAGCTCTGAGATGTTTCTATTTCAGAGTGAAGGCTTTTCTCATTTGCCTTAAAACATACTGCAACAGCTATTCTCTCTGGCAACCACATGGCTGCCTCTTGGGGATATGGTAAGGTAGGGAAGGCAGGGAGGCATTTAATCCCTTTGAAATGGGCAAGTAAGATGTCATACCCACAAACCTCAAGGGAGCAGAGAGTTCAGGACTACTTAGCATGGGACTATTACAGTGTGGTATATATACAAGGGCATCTTGCTTTGTGAAACAGATGAGTTCTCTTGCCGACATTTTTTATTAGAATAATTGTAATTACACTCATGCAGAGTCATATCCCACTACCAGTACACTATACTCATATATCCTCTTTACCTAGACTTCTCCCAGATCAGGATAGTAAGAAACCAGGCCACACTGGTTACTTGGACCTAATAGATATCTCAAATCTAACATGTTCAAAAGCCCTATTCTGGCTCCGTCTATCCTACATTAGTTTTCTTCATCATCCCCACCCACTGTGCTAATTCCATGAATTGCTCAGGCCCCAGAGCATAAGCACTGTCCTCAATTCTGGCTTCTCTCGTATCGTGGGCCAGTTGCAGTGCCATACCCCACCTTCAGAAGGCACGGGCACTCCGTCCTGGTCTGCCACCTCCTTGGCCCTGCCATAGTCCTCCTCTGCTGGGTATTGTGCCAGCATCCCAGTTAGTTGCCCTCATTCTGCTTTTGGCTCCTATCAACTTTTTCTCAACACAGCCAGCTAAAACAGAGCAATAATTAAGCACATTCCTATGCTAGCTCTGCTAACCCATCTTTTTCTCCTAAAAGCTTAAGTCCTTCCTGCCTTTGGCACGTGATCTACACACTGCCCTCTCCTTGGCGTCCCCTGCTCCCTGAGGTTAACTGCACGTGGAGGTGTGCGGTCAGGGAGGTCCTCCTTGAGGTCTTTTGTTCATGCTTGGGAGGTGGGGTGGGGTTAGGGCAGCTCTTTCCCCAGGTCTCTAATAGGTATTTGCTCCAATACCACTTTCTCAGCAAAGCCTTTCCATACCCCTGGTTGACTTTACCACTGGACGGGAAGTACTTCTCATTGTCTTGTAGGCCTCATTTTATTCCCTTCATGGTCCAACAAACTGTGTTGTCCTTGT